AGTATAACTAAAGGCAAAACTTTTTTTTTTAAGTTTTGGATAGAACGGAGAGGGATTAGAACACCTGTCAGATTTATTTCTGTCTGTGCCCCCCTATTAAGTTAGATTCACCCTCTCTATATGTCCTATTTACCATTATCATTGAAAGTGAAAGTAAAAATGTTTAAAATTTTGGGTTGTCCCCAGAAAAGTAACAGAGGGACATCTTCTAATCGGCACAGTAGTTCTGGTTACCTGGGGGTCCCAAAAGGAATTCCCTTAATTTGCAGGGATTTACTGTCACTTCCTGTTTGACTGTGGGACAGGAAGTGAAGGGGAATCTCTGCAATGAGACACAGATGGCAAATTAAAATCTGACTTGGGTTATACCCTGGCCCTTGCTCTATTCAAAATGAAAAAAAAAGTTTTGCCTATAGTTCTACTTTAAATTTAGTTGTCTGTGTACATATCTTCAAACATGCTCTGTTGGCAAAAATACCAGGCCTGACATTCCACTCCTCCAATCATTCCAGTTGTTTGGTTTTTTTTTTTTAATATTAGCAAATATTTGAGCATATGATAAAACATTTAATTGTCAAAAAAGCATGTGGGTGACTCAAGCAGCAGGCATCCATCTACAAATCTCAGTTTTTGGTTCTTAAGTTCTTATATTTTCCAGGCCTTATCACTACTGAAAATATTTCCAGAATTCCTATTTGTAATAAATGTATACAGGAATGTTCACTGATGTATTTATTTTGCTAAAAAAAGAATTGGTTCTACATTCTACATTCACTTTGCCTTGTTGTACTAGTTTCAGCAGCTGTAGCTGAAACCATAACCGCTGATTGCTAAGAAAGCATTCAGGATCTTTTCTGTATGCAACCGTAAAGCAGATGAAATTTCATACAAAACTTAGTTTCTTTTAAAAAAATTCACCGTTTGTAAAAAGTGCCTATATGCAGCAATTACAGCCAGGTTCGATTTTGGACTCCTATCCTAGAATACCTCGTGTATGGTTGGATCTATTTTTAAATGCTTATTTATATATATATATATATATATATATATATATATATATATATATATACATGTACAGTATTTTTGTTCTAGCATAATGGCTTTTAAAGACATTTGTTAAAAAGTATCTTTAATTAATATTTCTTCCCCATGATGAATTATACATTATTTTAACCGTCCATGCCATTTTCACATAATTATTTTGGAAATGCAAGAATGCACAGAAACAGATAAACAAAACTTGTGCCTCGCCTAAAAGATGTTCTTAAGTTATTGTTACTACGACATAAAGGTATATATAGGAAGCACAGAGGGCTCTCCCGGAGACATGGATGGAGTAAGCAAGAAAAGAGGATATTGGGAGCGTGAGAGAAGTAGGAGAGATGTGTGTGGGAGTGGAACCAGGGGGTCTGGGAAAGGAAAGGCAGAATTTGGGAAGAGACAGAGTGGAAAATGTTAGGACGACACAGGAAGCATAAAAAAAATTGTTTATTGAACACAGATCATCATCACCTAATCTGTACTGTGTTATAAGGCTTTAAATGTACAACTCTATTTATCATTTCTATTTATTTTGCAATGGTAGAGTATTTATTTAAAAATTTGTACATAAATACTCGCTAAAATACACAAAGGGATGCCCTGTATGCCTTTGGTGCAGTCCCTGCAACACTAATACAGACCCAAACTAGCATTAAAATTAAAACTAAAAAGCTCAGGGCCAAAGGACTACAAAAATATATGAAAATAGACATATAGGGGTTAATTTATAAAAACTGGAGAGTGTAAAATCTGGTGCAGCTGTACATGGTAGTCAGTCAGCTTCTAACTTCAGCTTGTTCAATTAAGGTTTGACTAAAAAATCTGGAAGCTGCACCAGATTTTGCATTGTTCAGTTTTAGTAAATCAAACCCATACTGTACAGTGCCTATGGGAAAGGTTGATATACATACAAACTGAAGTGAATGTTGTTGATCAGAATTCATCTTTCACAAATCTAACTTACTGTTTTCTACTATTTTCAGGCTTATCATTTTGCTACATATTAGTTTATAAATAATCATAGTTTTTATATATATATATTGCCAAAAGTATTTTCCAATCACCTCCATGGCCACAGGTGTATAAAATCAAGCACCTAGGCATGCAGACTGCTACAAACATTTGTGAAAGAATGGGTCGTTCTCAGGAGTTCAGTGAATTCAAGCGTGGTACCGTGATAGGTTGCCACCTTTGCAATAAGTCCATCTGTGAAATTTCCTTTCTAAATTTTCCAAAGTCAACTGTTAGTGGTATTATAACAAAGTGGAAGCAACTGGGAACAACAGAAACTCAGCCATGAAGTGGTAGGCCACGTAAAATGACAGAGCGGGGTCAGCGCATGCTGAAGCGCACATTGCGCAGAAGTCAACTGTCTGCAGAGTCAATAACTAAAGACTTCATGTAACCTTCAGATTAGCAACACAACAGTGCATAGAGAGCGTCATGGAATGGGTTTCCATGGATTAGCACCTGAAACCAAGCCTTACATCACCAAGTGTAATGCAAAGATTCAGATGCAGTGGTGTAAAGCACGCCGCCACTGGACTTTAGAGCAGTGGAGATGTGCTTTCTGGAGTGGTGAATCATGCTTCTCTGTCTGGCAATCTGATGGACATGTCTGGGTTTGGCGGTTGCCAGGAGAACGGTACTTGCCTGATTGCGTTGTGCCAAGTGTAAAGATTGGTGGAGGGGGGATTACGGTGTGGGGTTGTTTGTCAGGGGTTGGGCTTGGCCTTTTAGTTCCAGTGAAGGCATCAGCATACAAGACACTTTGGACAATTTCATGCTCCCAACTTTGTGAGAACAGTTTGGGGATGGCCCCTTTCTGTTCCAACATGACTGAGCACCAATGCACAAAGCAAGGTCCATAAAGACATGGATGAGCGAGTATGGGGTGGAGGAACGTGACTGCACAGAGTCCTGAACTCAACCCGATAGAACAGCTTTGGGATGAAATAGAGAAAGAGAGCCAGGCCTTCTGGTCCGACATCAGTGCCTGACCTCACAAGTGCGCTTCTAGAAGAAGGATCAAACATCCCCATAGACACACTCCTAAACCTTGTGGACAGCCTTCCCAGAAGACTTGAAGCTGTTATAGCTGCAAAGGGTGAGCCAACTCAATATTGAACCCTATGGACAGCCCCGGACTGGCCATAGAGCACACTGGGCATTTGCCTGGTGGGCCGGGGCCGCGTGTCCTAGGAAGAGCAGCCTGTGGATGACTGGGCCGCACAGCAGGAGGTAAGTGGTGATTGTGCGCTAGACAGAGTTAACACAGACCATGGGCGCTGCTCGACTCCCACGATGGGATCGCATCTAACCATGATGGCTGCACAGGGGAGGAAGGTGAGCACAGTTTAGCCACACATCCCGTTCTGTAGCAGCGGTGTGTGTGGGGGGGGTGGATTGGGCTGTCCCTTTGTTGGATTAGGCCATCTCCCTGCTATATGGAGCTGTCTCTTTCCTGGGTGGAGCTGTCTCTTTGCTGGATTGGGCTGTGGCTTTGTTGAATTGGGCTGTGTCTTTGCTGGATTGGCCCATCTCTTTGCTATATGGAGCTGTCTCTTTGCTGGACTGGGCTTTTCTTTTCTGGATTAGGCTATCTCTTTGCTGGATTGGGCCATCTCTTTGCTATATGAAGCTATCTCTTTGTTGGATTGGGCTGTCTCTTTGCTGGATTGGGCCATTGTTGGGGCTGCTATATGGTGCTGTCTCCTTGCTATAATGGGATGTCTCTTTGCTGGATTGGGATGTCTTTTAGCTGGATTGGGCCATCTCTTTGTTATATGGGACTGTCTCTTTGGTGGATTGGTCTGTCTCTTTGGTGGATTGGGATGTCTCTTTGGTGGATGGGGCTGTCTCTTTGCTGGATTTGCATGTCTCCTTGCTCTGTGGGACTGTCTCGTTGCTGGATTGGACTGTCTCGTTGGTTTGGGCTGTCTCGTTGCTGAATTGGGCTGTCTGCAGAGGACCCAGACTCCATGAACATCCCGGCTTTTAAGTTTTATTAGTGGTATTGAACTCGGATGGCGTAAGGGGTGCATGGGGTGCCCAAGGGAACTGCAAATGAGGACAACGTACTGGCCTTACTGCATGCCACTCTAAGATGAACAATCCTGGTTAGGAGCTAGTCAGGTTTCCCACCAGAGTGCTCTTTTCCCCTTTTTCTGGCCCAGGGGGTATAGGATTACTCACTCAGTCTCTTTCCTGTGAGCTGGTATGGGCAGGCCTTCTGCTGGGCTGGCTCCTTTTCTGGCTCCACAGATAGCCCTCCCTACTGGTTAGGTTGAGTGATTCCCCTGTCCAGATCTCAGCCTGTAGGAAGCCCCCCCCCCCCGGGCCCCCTCCCAGGCTCCTGCATCTTTTCTTCACTCACACCTTCCACCCAGGGCTGTCCTGACCCCATGCCAACCCACCGGCCTGGGGATTGGTCAAAATCCACTAAGTATGCAGATTAGCCCCTCCTCATCCCCGTTTACTGCTTCTAGAATATTCTCCAAGATTCTAGAGTAGGAGGAGGTATCAAGGAACTGATCTGCAGAGCCTCTCAGCCATATCGAGATCTCTCTCTCTCTCTCTCTCCCCCCCCCCCCCCTCTCTCTCTCTCTCTCTCTCTATATATATATATATATATCAGCCATATTTTTATGACCACCCACATAATATGTACTAAGTCCCCCTTTTGCTACCAAAAAGACCTTTTTGCCACCGAAGCAGTTCTGACCTGTCAAGGCATGGACTCCACTAGGCCACTGAAGGTCTGATGCTATGGTATTTGGCACCAAACCATCAGTAGAAGATCCTTTAGGTCCTATAATTTACAAGGACTTGTTTTTCCAGCATGTCCCACAGATGCTCAATTAGACTGAGATCTGGAGAATTTGCAGGCAAGGTCAACACCTCAAACTTGTTTTGTTTCTCAAACAATTCCTGAACCATTTTTGCAGTGTGGCAGGCAGGGGCGGACTGACAACTCATGGGGCCCCCGGGCAATAGGGGATCATGGGGCCTCTGTGTCCTTGCCCAAACCCAAAAAAGCCTATGAAAAAGGTACCAGGGGCATCTCATGGGGCCCCCTACTGACCCCAGGCCCTCGGGCAGTGCCCGAGTTTCCAAATGGTTAGTCCGCCCCTGGTGGCAGGGCATATTTAACCTGTTGAAAGAGGCCACTGCCATCGGGGAATACTGCTTCCATGAAAGGATGTACTTGGTCAGCAACAATGTTTAGGTAGCTGGTACATGTCAAGTAGCATCCACATGAATGGCAGGACCCAAGGTTTCAAAGCATAACATTGCTCAAAGCATCACAGTCCCTCTGCCGTCTTGCGTTCTTCACATACTGCATCCTGGTGCCATCCCTTCCACAAGTAAGGGATGGACACGTACCCAGGCTTTCACATGGTGTAAAAGAAAATGTGATTCATCAGACCAGGCCACCTTCTTCCATTGCTCCGTGGTCCAGTTCTGATGCTCATGTGCCCATTGTAGGTGCTTTTGGCTGTGAACACGGATCAGCATGGGCAGTTGGGCCCCCTGGCTGCTCTGCAGCTACGCACCCCGTACACAACAAATTGCGATGCCCTTTCAACACTTCAACATTAAGGACATGTTCACTTGCTTCCCTATATATCCCACTGACTTTCAGATGCCATTGTAACAAGATAATCAATGCTATTTACATAACTTGTCAGTGGTCATAATGTTATGGCTGATTGGAATCTCTGACAAGGTGGTAAAATTTAAAGGATAAGTTCACCTTCGTAAAAAAATAAATAAATACATGCACATCTTTTTAAAGGTAAAAAATGTGCATTTGTTCTTTTTTTTTTTTACTAGAAGCCTGCAAAACATTGCACCCACGAAGCAGATGCTGGCTAAATCAGCAAAATCTGGTGTACACGGTAGCCAATCAGCTTCCAGTTTTGTTTTGTTTGTTTTTGTTTGCAAAGCTAAGGCTGGCCATACACAATACAATTTTCTTACCATTTTCTGTCCAGTTTCTGCCCAATTTCCTTTAGATTTACCTTCAACCATGTAGTGCAAGGGCCCGCCTAAATGGATACAATTAAGACTGTTTTTTAGATTTGACCTCATATTATATGGTTTTTGGTAAATCTAAAGCAAAATTCTCAAGAAAACTGTGGCCAGCCTTAAAGGCTCATTCGCACCATGGTGCAGAGACGTCAGTTTTTCTGCATGCGTTCTGCAAGGGCACAACAAAATCAATTGTTCTCTATGTGTCCTGTTCACACCACAATACTAGTATCACGTGCAGATTGTTTCTGCTCAGGAATCTGCAACATGTATAAAAGTCATTGAAGCACGCATCTCAACTGATGTAAACTGTCTCTTCAAGTGAAATGTGTGTCAGTTTCCATCAGTTTTTCTGCACATATGCTGTGAATGAGGCCTTACTGAACAAGCTGAAGTTAGAAGCTGATTGGCTACCAAGCACTGCTGCACCAGAGTTTGCACTCTCCAGTTTTAGGCTTGGTTCACATATGTGCGGGTGGTGCCACTGCGGATCCGCAAAAAAATCCGTGCAGCTGCACCACCCGCACAGAGGAATGCGGACCAGCGGACGGGTGCCATTAATTCTAATGGCACGCTGTCCACATTGGACATCGCAACTGTACTGGGAACCAAGGTTCCTGTGCAGGCTGCGTTTTCAGAAGTGTAGGGACTTCTTCCCTGCGTGTCACGGGCACGCAAAACGCAGACCGCAGGAATGCAGATATGTGAACCAGGGGTAAGTAAATCAACGCCTATGTGTTCTGGGATAGTACCTCCTCAGTCATGCCTGACAACAGCTACAGCTCCAACTACAAAAGCAAAAGAACGTTGCTGATTTTGTGCATTTCTTCGACCATTGAACTGGAAGATTGCAAAGACTAGCAGCTGAGCTTCTCATTTTGGTTCTTTGGGGAGCTTTTTTTCAGGACTTAATACTATTATTTAATTCTCTTTCACAGGAGATTTGTACTAGAAAGTTAAACTGTATTTTTAGAATACATTCGTTCCTTCTGTATATCCAAGGCCAACAAGCATGTTTGCAAATATAATCTATTACCGCTGTCATTCTTTGCCTGTTCTTTGAAAACTGCCATCAGAGGACAGTATAAACATTGTTTTGTTTACATTCAGCATCTCTGCCGTCTGTACTGAGAACAGAGAACACATTCCTCCGGTTGTATAGGATTAGCTGTCTGGAATCATATGGGACAAGGCATGAACAGTTATTCATAGACAGGGCTGTGGATAATGGGGTAACTCCAGTCCTCCTGAACGGGGCCCAGGCCAGCAGGGGGGCCCAGGCAGCTTGCTGAATCAGATGTGAGCAGGGAGGGTGATCAGTACTGCAGGGAGCAATTACTGGAACAGATCCCCTGTATGGCTCTCTCTGCAGCAGCTGAAAGCTGGCTTCTTCTCCTCTCTGTACCACTTTTAGCTGTTGCAGAGAGAGCCATACAGGGGATCCAGTAATTGAACCCCCAAGCCCACCACACCCATCACCCTCTCTGTGCGCCATATGTTTCCCCTGCTGCCCAGGCCTCCCTATATGCCCCCCCCCCACAGTGCTGCTGGATTCCCTCTCTCTCTTTCCCAGATGCATGCACACAACAGGATTCTTCAGGATGGAGAGTGGGAGAGGGGTCTGGTAAATATGTCACATTTATCAGCCCCTTCTTTTCCTTAATGAACACAATGAGTGATCAGTACCGAACACTCACTGTGGTCATTCATAACTGAAGCATAGTAAACTATGTTTTTTTTTTTTTGGGGGGGTGCCCTTTTAGGTTGGCTGTATGGGGCCCCGTGGTTTCCAACAGCAGCCCTGTTCATAGAACTTATGCTGGGGCTGCATTTTCCAGCAGTTATATTTCTCTATTGATAATACGAGTATAGTAACCTTCATTAATTGCGTGACAGCAAGCAAATAAGCTTTTTATAGGCACAAGTCAGTAATGACAGCCTACATATTTTTCTCAGTACATGGACCATGTACAAATGATTAAAGTAGTTGTAACCAAAATTAATTTGATATGATAACTGTCATCTCTCTACTCATGTATTTTAATTTCTAGGTGTGCAGTTAAAGTATAACTAAAGGTAAAACGTGCTTTAAGTTTTGGATAGCGTTGATAAAGATTTGGAACACTTTTCAGGTTTTTATTGCCACCTGTATCCCCGTTAGGGACATTCACCCTCTCTATTTGTCCTGTAACCATCATCACCCAGAGTAAAATTTAAAGAAAATCCCAAATTGTGGACTAGATTCACCTGTACAGGAATAGAATAGAACCCTTCCAATGGGGGCAGAAGTTCTGGTGATGCTGGTGACAACCAGGGGTTTCCTCACTTTGGAAGGATTTCCTCTCACATCCTGTTTTGGCTATAAGACCGGAAATAAAGAAAAATCTCACTATTTGGACACAGACAGGGTCCTAATGGCTATGGGGATTATAACCCTTCCTTACCCTAGGTGCACACGTAAGGGTTTTCTGCAGTGTTTTGTGTTTTGCAGAAACGCAGTACAGTCCATTTAACATGATTTCCTATGGGACATGTTCACATCTCCGTGTTTTCACCTGGTACGTTTTTTGGAAAGGGTCAGGGAATTTTTTGAACGCAAAAAGTTGCGTTTTTGGTTCTATAGACCTAAATGGAAACGCTGCAGAAGAGCAAGTAGTACGTAAATCGCATCAAAAACGTGTAAAAAACACTTAAGCAATGCAGGTGCAAAAACGCAATGCAGAAATGGCTCAACTGCAACCTGCATAGGTGTGAACATAGCCTTACTCTGTCCAGAATGAAAAAACATTGCATTTTTCTACTTTAATGAAGATATTCAGAACAATGTTTGATTACAGCTTGATAGGCATATGCTTGACATTGTTGCAGGTCATAACTACAGTTTGTGGATACCATTGAAAGGAGCTAAAAGCAGAATTTCACTGGGAAGTTGCAGTACACACACTTATACATTGTACTGTAAGGTTTGGTTCACATATATACATTTTGCGTTTGCTGCTTGCTCCAGCGATTTTTGCCATTTGTTTTGTGTTTTTTACCACGTTTTACGTTTTATTAACTCTTTTTTTTTTGTTAAAGTGGAATTTTTTTTTTTTGCTGGGCAGAGTTAAAAAGCAAGATGCAAAATGCAGCAAAAACACTGCAAAAATGCACTACCGTGCATTTCAGTAGCTTCTCCATTGAACTCTACTGTATCAAAAAATGCTTCTTTTTACTTTTAAAAAAAGTCCCTGTCCCTTTCCAGAAACGCAGCAGCTTAAAAAAGCATAGATGTGAACATGTTCCATAGGAAACCATGTTAAGTGGACTGTAGTGCGTTTCTGCAAAAAGCACTAAAAAACGCATTGGTGTAAACAGGGACTTCATAAAATTTTAAGGATGAAATTCCAAACACATTAATGAAAATGTTTGCCTTTGCCCTTTAATTGTTTAACAATAAAATGAGAGTCAAGAGAACATTTGAAAGTCTTTACTCATTACTGAATGATCGTCCTCATTCCTCTGCTCTTGTAATTGTTTTTAACTTTCTTTACCAGCAGCTCACTGTGCAATGTCCGACTAAAGATGTATTTCTTGAAAGACTTCTAAAGGGCCACAATGCTTTTGATTATGTAAGTATGGTAAAAATAAAACCTCCCACTCAGCACTTGAAGTTTGCAGCAAGCATGGTGGAAGGGAAAGTCTCCAAAATCCTTGTAGTTGAAGTAGTTGATTTAAATGTTTTCCAGAAAAAGTGTTGTTTTGCTTTTTGCAAAATATTTAAAGCAATATTAAACTCAAAAACAAAAATGTATTATACAGGTGCATCTCAATAAATTAGAATATCATCAAAAAGTTATTTTATTTCAGCAGTTCAATTCCAAAAGTGAAACTTATATAAAATACAGATTCATTACACACAGAGTGATATATTTCAGGCATTTGTTTCTTTTAATTTTGATGATTATGGCTTACAGCTAGTGAAATCCCAAAATTCAGTATCTGCTAGTTTGCTTCGCATACTAGCACATTATGAAAAGACTTACCTGAAAAAGGAGCGCTGTCACGGCTCTGCGAGGCTTACATCTTCATCTGGTCTTCATTCCGGGTTCATAAGCTGC